GCATGCGCTGGGCTGTGGTGCCGTATGGGGAGCAGTGCACTGGCTGGGCTGGAGCAGGCGGTGCGGGCTGGCTGGGAAGGCAGCACGTCTTTGCAGAAGAAATGTGTCTCTGTGGTGAGCACGCCAGTACTGTGAGGGCTGCGAGGTGCCGTGCTGCTTCCCCAGCTCGTTTGCGCTCACAAACGAAGGCAGGTTGCAGGGAGGTTGAATATCATGGCTGTGGCACTGGGTTTGTCAGAGCGTCACTGTGCGTGGATGCTTGGTCTGGTTTGGGTCTCGGAGCTCTGTCCTAGGTTAGAGCAGGCTGGGGAAGGGGCTGCCAGGGGCTCAGTGCCTCAGGGGATGGACACAGCCCTGCATGGTGTCTGCAAATGCTCCCTCTTGCTCAGCTTCTTGTCTTCTCTGAGCAGGAGGGTGCAAGCGAGGCCATCTGGGCCAGCTGGGTTTGGCCCTGACAGCGCAAGGGGTGTCGTGAGAGGAGCTCTGGCTTGGGCAGCTCCTCCGGTACTTCCCCCTGCTCTTACAGTGTCAAACACTCCCTCGTGCTGCCGGTTGGGTATTTTCCACACCCAACTGAATACTAGCCATGTTCACCCAAGGCTGGGGGGTTGTTCGAAGGCCGTGTGGGTCAGGCTCAATATCCAGGTGTTGCTTTAGCAGCAAATCTCTCTAAAAGCTGAACGTAAATAGGGATGAAGGGAGCTGCCCAAAGCTTCTCCTGGCCTGATGGAGCAAGTGGGGACAGGTTTGGATCGTGCCACTCCTTCCTCCATGAGCGTTTGCACCCCTGCTGTTCTGCCTTCAGGGATGGGAACAAGGACTAAAGCCAAATGGATCTGGCAGGCCTGTCACCATGTCCCGGTGAGGGGGTTGTGGACTGTAAATGGATGCTCCAAGTCTCACCTCTTGCCCTTACTGGCAAATTGGCTCCTTCCCAGCAGCGGCTGTGGGCAAACGCGGCAGCTGGAGCTCCGGCGAGCCCGTGCTTGGTTTCTCCTGGCCTGGTAGCAGAGCTGTTGGCCGTTCCCCACGTGTCTCTGTGGGGCATCTCCCTGGGGCAGCATCCTTGTTGTCGGCCCCTGCCTGCTCTGCCCACGAAAGGAGCTCTCTAGCTGAGCGCTGAGACGGAGCTGGTCGGTGACTCTGCCCGTCGGGAGGCAGGAGTGGGGTCCCATCTCTCTGCTGGCCCTGTGGAGCCTGTGGGCTCGGCAGCAACCGGGGCGTCTCCTCCCGGCTCCTCCATCGAGCACAGAGCACTGCAGCCGGCTTCAGTGCGGCCCTGGGGCCTGCCGAAATTCCCGCTAAGGCAGCAATGCCGTAGAGATGGTGTTAGCAGCAAGAGGGAGGCTCTGCAGAGCTCACTGCTCTAGCAGGGAGAATGGGAGAGGGCATGTGTGTGTGTGTGTCCCACGTGCTTGAAATCCAGGCAGATTTAGATGACATGGATTCATTCAGCAGGGTGAGGGCAAGGAGAGGAGGCAGGTACCTGCTATTTAATTTCATATTGCTCCCTCCTGCACCTTCTTGGAAGCTGCCTTTCCTCTTCCAGCCCGCCTATCCTATCCACCCCTGACACAGAAATTACACCGCCTCCGGCACAGCGCTCGGCGCAGGCAGCGCTGGCAGGGCAGGAGTATGATTCAGAGCTGAATCAGCTGCTTGGTTGTCAGCAGTTTGAACCCAGAGGGCCTGATTTTCAGCCTGCCATCATTCAGGCTGAATTTTGTGCTGGCCAGGAATTGTCTTGTGTGTGCAGGCAGAGCCGCATGCAGGTGATTTGGAGCAGGTATCCCAGTGGGAAGGTGATGGCTGGCCACAGGGCCGGCAAGCTGGGAACCAGAGGCGTGAGCAGAGCAGGGTGGCCGTTTGGAGAGGACGTGCTGTGCCCTGAGGGAAGGCAGGTGTTTCTGCCCGTACCTGAGCATGTTCTCTCTGTCCCTCGTAGGAGAGCCTGGTCATTGACAGGCCCCGGGTGCGGAAGCAAACAAAACACTACAACTCCTTTGAAGAGGATGAGCTGATGGAGTTCTCTGAGCTGGACAGCGACTCGGACGAGCGACCCACGCGCTCGCGGCGCTTCAATGAGAAGACACGGCGGTACCTGCGGGCTGAGTGCTTCCGTGTGGAGAAGAACCTGCTCATATTTGGGTGAGTCTCACCCCCTCCCAGAGAGCATGGCCAAAGCCTCCAGCTGCCCCAGTGTGCACTTGGGCCACCGGCTGCCCCAGCCACTTTCTGTCTGTCCTGCTTGCAGCGTCCCCTCCTTCCAGCAGTGACCTCCCTGGTGGGACCTGGGCTCTAAGTGAACATTTGGGATGGAAGGAGAGTTAGGGGGGCAGAGCATGTCTGCAAGCTTCCAGCACTCCTGCCTCTGCCCTGTTCAGTCCTAGGCAAACCTCTCCACTCCCATAATGTGGGGGCAGAACGCTCCTATCCAGGGGAGCTGGCAGGGCCGTGCCCCTGAGCAAGCTCCTGGAGAGAGGTGCCAGTGGGGTCTCTAGTTGCACAGGAGTGTTTACTGTGTCTGTGTTCCTGCTGTTCCAGCTGGGGACGCTGGAAAGATATCCTGACCCACGGGCGGTTCAAGTGGCACCTGAACGAGAAGGACATGGAGATGATTTGTCGGGCCTTGCTGGTCTATTGCGTCAAACACTACAAGGGGGATGAGAAGATTAAGAGTTTTATCTGGGATCTCATCACGCCGACGAAGGACGGCCAGAACCAGGCTCTGCAGAATCACTCAGGTATTGCGTGTTCTCTCTGCCATTGCACCTGTACCCGTCGCCGCTGTGCCAGCCTGTGGGGCCGAGGCTGCACAATTCAAAGCAGAGCTGATTGAAACAGCCTGCAAGCAGTTGTGCTTGAGCACTGCGCCTCTCTCTGCACAGAGAATGTGGCTGCCATGGGACTGACCTCCACACTGACCCTTAGAGCCAGTGGTAGGGGCTGGCTGGGCAGGGGAGGCCGTTTCCTGGCTCCCAGTGCCATGGCTGGTGCAGACAGAGCCTCAAGGTGGGAGCAGAGATGCCATCTCAAGTGGGTGCTGCTAAGTTTTTTCTGGCGTGTGAATACTGTCAGGGTTCCCCCATGCAGGGAGACACTGGGCAGTGAGCTCGTGGGGCACTGGTGACCGTGTGAACACGTTGGGTGTGATACGTGTGAGGCTGCTTATTCCACTCAGAGCGTAGACATGCCGGGATGTTCCTCAGGGCATCGCAGGACACGGCGTGGATCGCTGTGCAGGGACCCTGCCTGTGCCCGTTGGCAGTCCCGGCCCTGGCGCCAACAGCTGAGGCTGCCGAGCGTGGCGCTCGCGGCTGTGCCGGTGAAGCTGGTGGTGCAGTCTGTGCAGCCATCTCACCCCAGGGCGCCAGCTCGTGCCTCCTCTCATCACGGTTCTTGTCCCAGACACACTGGTCTGCAGCGCCTGCCCTGATGGGTGGAGGTGCAGCGCTGGTTTGTCCCAAGACGTCTGCAACGCAGAATCCTACGCAGGTGATGCTGCCTTCCCTGACTCCATCTAGCAGGACCCTTTATCTCCGATTTGGCTGCGGCCTCCGTGTTCAGAGGGCTTGTATGCTTATTCTCCAGTGTGTGTGAGGTCCACATACCACACCTCGTGTCCAATTTGTAATTGCACCAGCATTCTGTTGGGTGGAGGTTTCCATCCTCAGCTTCAGACAGGGGCCACCCAGAGCCTTCTCCAGCCCTGCTCTCCTCTCTCTGACCCTGCCTGGGCAGTGGGGCACTGCAGATTTGCCCCGCTGCCTGCAGTGCCGCGTCTGCTCTCTGTAGGCGTCCCTTGGGGCTGGAGGAGCACAGCAAATACAGCCCACCATGCGAACAGCATCGTGCAGCCGCAGTGGCTTTTGTCTTTAATGATACGAAGACAGAGCCGGTGCTGGCTCCTTGGATCAGCTGGAGGGTTGTGGCCTGGGACACGTGGTCACTGCCCGTTCTGTGTCAGAGGGCTCTGCGCTGACCTAGCAGCACAGTGCCTGCATCCTGCGGCTTTCAGGACAGGTGAGTTCGGCTGGGAGGGCCGGCTGGGGGAGGCCACGGCGCTCCCTCGGGGTGGTCAGAGCCCCACGGCTGCATGCTGCTTGTTGTGCACTTGTGATCTGTGGCGCAAGGTGAGTAGCGAGGAGGCTGGGACTCTCCAGCCTGCTTTTGGCGTCAGGGAGCCAAGCTGAAACCTGGGGCTCCTGTTCCGAGGTGGTGGAGCACAGGGAAGGCTGTTCTGGAATAGTGCTGTTGCTGAGCCCCAAGAGCGTGCTGCGTGTTACTTGGTGCTTAAAACCCGACATCACCGCTTCCTTCTGTCTGGAAATGTCCAACTGGCTTTACAGTGTGACATCCGAGCATGTGGCCGTCAATGGCTTCTTTAAGTTACTCCAATCACCTCCTACAACGTGAGCCACTCTGGCAGCGCTGCCTCCTGCCCTTGCCACGCAGCCTGCCCAGAGCGGCACTGGGACTGGACTCGAGAGCCCTGTGGGGAGCAGAGCAAGGGTAAGAAACAAATTGGCTGATATGAATGGGCTTGATTTAGATAATGCCAAGTAAGGAACAAGCCATGATTTCAGTGGAGGGTCAGGAATGCTTTAGTGCAAGAGCAGGACTAAAATTGGATATTTAGCAGAGGAAAGCAACCAGGAGCTTCTCCGTCAGCTTTTCAGAGTGGCTTTTCCCTCCTGTGAAAACTCCATGTGGTCTTGGCTAGAGGAACAATGAAGCCATCTAGCCTAACCTCAGGGCTGGAGGAGAGCAGAACCCTCCAGTGTGGAGCAGCCACGCGGCAGGTGCTGCTGTGGCTCGCCAAGGAGCCTGAGGTACCACTCATGTTTGCAGAGAGCTGACCAGGCGAGACATGCTGCGGGCCTCCCTGATGTGCAGAAAGCAACAGCAACCTCCAGCCCTTGCTAGTGCATCCTGGGGCTGTTCCTTCTCAATCCCGTATCCACGTGACTGTGAGGGGCGAGCACAGCTGAGAGCTCTGCTCTGATCCAGCCCCATCCTGCCTTCCGTCCTGAAGAGGCCAAGCTGCTGAGGAAGCAGCGTTTGCTCAGAGTGCATCAGGCCAGTTCGGTGCTGGGGACGGGAGCCCTGGTGCCCACTGCAGCCACCTGGGCTGGAGCCCTTGTCCCGTTGTGGAGCTGCAAACTTTGTGCAGGTGTTGAGGACATGGCAACGTGCTCTCTTCTTCCCTGGCTTCGCAAGACCTTATGGATGGGATGGGACTGCTGAAGCACACTTCTTTCCCCTTCACACACATAGGCAGGAGAGGACGTCTGCAGGACCCTGCCTCAGAAGCGGCTGCCCAGGGGGACAGCTCATCCCTCTCGGAAGACTCCAAACAATGGTGACCCCACCAGGAGTTGTTTCCACATTCTGCTGTGAACTCACATCTTATTTCAAGGTTGAAAAGATGTTTAATTTTCAGCTCCAGCCACTGGATCTCATTTTATCTTTGTCAACCAGATGGGACTGCATTCCTTTTCCCTTCGTTATCTGTGCTAAGTGTAAATGCCCCCTGCAGTGACCTGGTTCCCACACAGCCCTCCTGCTGATGCACGGAATAGGAAACAACCCTTACAGCTCAGATCATCAGATTGTCTGCTGGTCTTTGATCATTTGGGAGTCTCTTGTTTGAACTCTTGTCCCAAATCGCTGTGTTGTCCCTGTAGGGTGAGCTTCAGAGCTGGCTGTAGTGTCCAGGTAAGGCTCTAAGAGCCATGCCCAGGACCAAGGTCCCTTCCGTGCTTCTGTGTGATGTTTTTATCCATCAAGGGGCCGTGTTATCCTTTGGGCTCAGCACTGCACTGAGAACTCACAGCAGTTCGCTTTCTGTGGCAATCCCCAAATTCTTCTTGGAGATCTCCCATGCTCTGCATTTACCCCGTGCACTTCCCCGACCCTGGCTCAGCTACTGGCAGCCAGGAGCTTTGTGTGGCCCCTCCAGCTCCCGGCTCTGCTGCCCTGCCTGGACACCGCAGCACCAGAGATGCCTCGCGGCGGTGCCTGGCCTGGCCCACGGTGCCCATGGTGCTCACTGGCTGCCGCTTGCTGTTACAGGCTTGTCGGCACCGGTGCCCAGAGGCCGGAAGGGGAAGAAGACGAAGAACCAGATGCTGCTTCCCGAGATAAAGAACGCGGACTGGCTCGCCACCTGCAACCCCGAGGTCGTCCTGCATGACGACAGCTACAAGAAGCACCTCAAACAGCACTGCAACAAGTGAGTGTGGGAGCCCGTGCCGGCTCGTGGAGGCCGTGGGCTGAGGGCCTTTGGCATGGGGAGGGCGGGAGGGAGCTACAAAGGGCTGGCAGCCCATGCAGGGTCACCGTGCTCCGGCTGCTGGACCGCGCTTGGATGCTGCTCCAGCTAACAGGAGCTGCGTCCTGAGCAGCAAACCTCCGGCCGCAGGGCCCCAGCAGGTCGCAGGGCTGGGCACTGTGGTGTGACACCACATGGCTGGTGCCTGTCCTGCTTTGGGAATGTGGGTCCTCTCGTGGGGAAACACGGTGTCGAGCTGGTTTTCCTGGCCTTGCTGACCCTCGGAGCATCCCCCTGCAAACGCTCTGGCGAGGGCCGTTTGGCCAGGCCCTAGGCTGGCGTCTGAGCACCTGCGTGCTAGTGTGCGTTCCTCTCCTGCCCCGGGACAGGGTTCTGCTGCGGGTGCGAATGCTCTACTACCTGAAGGCTGAAGTGCTGGGGGAGGCCGCTGACAAAGCCTTCGAGGGGACCCCTGCCAGGTAGGGACCTTGCAGCGAACCCCTGCGATGCTTCTCGGGGAGGCAGTGGCGGCACTCCGGCACTGCCACAGCCATCCAGCCCAGCCACGTCTGGGCTTACTGCGGCTCTGGGCGAGTCAGACCCTGCGGTCAAATCCCCAGGTCTTGCTCAGGCAAAACTTCATCCTTGGATGGCAGCTCTGCCCGAGCAGGGACCGTGGCAGCCCTGTTGAGGCAGCTCTGAGGCTGCAGCGCCAGCCTGGGCGGTGGTGAGGCCCTCGGGGACAGCCTGCAGGAAAATGTCTCCATGTGCTGCCTGACAAATTGCCCTTTAATCCAAAGTGGGAGCCCACAGAGACTGCCCAGTTCCCAGGGCCAGGCCTCGGTGCAGAGCATGCCCCATCTCTGTGGCCTGCAGCACCTTCCCAGCACTGAGGACAAGGGGGCCGACAGGCTCTGTAATGCCACTGAGCCTGCAGCCTGCCAGCTCCTGACCTTCCTGCAAAGACCCAGCCCTCGGTGCTTCAGAGAGAAGTGTGATCTGCTGAGCTTAATTTCCTAGAGCAGGGGCTGCTGCCTTCCCCAGCACAGCTCCATCAGCACGAGTCTGTGCGGAGGGGACATTGCAGCCCATCCCTCCAGACACGCTGTTCTCTTGAGGCTGGTAGGTTTGAAGTGTTTTCCCCCAGGAGATGCTGTTCAGATCAGATAGGATCTCCAGTCCTCTGGTATTGCTTGGGTGGGTGGAGAAGGAGGATGGGGAAGGCAGTGGGTTGCGGTGGAGCTGAGGCTCCAGCTCTCTGACCCCAGGGAGACGTGCACGCAAAACGGGGGGGGGCCCCGGGCCAGCCGCACGTTCACGAGCTGTCCCCAGGCCAGGCAGTGATGGCTCCTGTCTCCCCCTGCCCGGCGCTGCCCAGTGCGCTCCCGTGTCTGGTGGGGCTGGCAGAGGGGCGTTCATACCTTGTCTGCCGCAGGGAGCTGGACGTGCTGCTGCCGGACATTGACTACGTGGAGATCCCAGTGGACTGGTGGAATGCTGAAGCCTGCTCATTGGCGTCTTCAAGCACGGTGTGTACCCAGCTTGTCGAGGGACCCAAGTGGAGCACCTGGCCGGAGCTCCGGTACCTGGAGGGGACGTCATGCCGGTGCGAGGGGACAGAGCCGTGGCCACACAGCGCCAAGGCCGCACTCCCCAGGCGCTGGCAGCTGCGGCACTGCCGGCTCGTT